GAACTCACCCTAATACCCACACTCTGGGAGCATCCACTTCCTTCTTTCCAGTGATAGTCTGCACCAAAGAGGGAAATATGAGCTTACAGTCTAAAGGTCGCCACAGGTTCACGGCCCAGGTGAGTTGCAGCGATACGTTGGTATGTGTAAAATCTGGAATTCCGCTTTGGAGAGCTGGGGACTCAGAATTGGGGATGCCCCCTATTTTTAGCTTTGCCCAGAGCCTGGCGCAAATGTCATCAGAGATACTGAGCAGAGTCCACCTGTAATAGTTACAGGCCTCTTTCCAGTGAGGTAACAGCTGCCGTCTTGGTTCCGCTTGTAGCACTTAGCATGTCTTCCAAGCAGCACATGGTAGAAGTCAGTGAAGCTGCTCCATGTGGGACTAAGGCCACCTCCCCCGCGCGTCGATAACAGGTAGTCCTCCAAAGTATTAGGACTGCACTAAGAAAAAAAATGCTGCTAGAGTGGTATAAGCCTGTGCACCAGGTTATCCCCAATTAGACAAGACTATCTGAGAGTCAATTTAAACTGTCAGGCCAGTCATAGCAGTAAAAAAACTGAATAAGATAAGTATCTGTAGCACTTTGCTTCCACTCTGCATGGTTTTCAAGACTTGCCCCTGCATATTTTCCTACTTTAACAACCATGAGTTCCCACCCCTTTTAACAATTCTTCAATGAGTGATACAAGTGAGTATCCTTTAGTCACATTAGAACACTTTTTCTGATAAAAAAAAAGTTTATCTATTACTCTATTAAAACAATATTTAGAATCCCTACCTTGTAACGTAAACTAGGGATCGACCGATTATCGGTTTTACCGATATAATCGGCCGATATTCGGTATTCTCGGCAATATCGGTATCGGCCAATTCAGATACCGATATTGCCGATAATACCTCCTAGGACCGCCGGGCTCATTACAAGCCCGGCGGTCCTGGGGGGGCGGAGAGCAAGCGCTTACTCACCTCCCAGCAGCTCCCCAGTGCAACTCTCGCGAGACCAGCGGCCGTCAGAGCGTTGCCATGGATCACCATGGCAACGCTCCGCGCGACACGCTGGCCGCGAGAGTTGCACTGGGGAGCTGGAGGAGCTGCTGGGAGGTGAGTAAGCGCTTGCTCTCCGCCCCCCCAAAGCTCAGCCAATACCACTGGACCACCAGGGACTGTCATATCCCCCCTCCCTGGCCAGGTAACAAGCAGGGAGGGGGGGACAACAAAAATAAATAATAAAGTAAATATAATTTTTTTTTTAAATAATTTAATAAAAAATGCCCCCTCACACACTGCATTATATACACATACACTACACAAACACACTGTGTATATAATGCAGTGTGTGTTTGTATAGTGTGTGTGTTTGTATAGTGTGTGTATATAATGCAGTGTGTGTTTGTGTAGTGTGGGTATATAATGCAGTGTGTGCTCTTCGTGTAGTGTATATAATGCAGTGTGTGTTTGTGTAGTGTGTGTATATAATGCAGTGTGTGTTTGTAGTAGTGTGTGTATATAATGCAGCAGTGTTTGTGTAGTGTGTGTGTATATAATGCAGTGTGTTTGTGTAGTGTGTGTATATAATGCAGTGTGTTTGTGTAGTGTGTGTATATAATTCGGTGTGTGTTTATGTAGTGTGTTTGTGCAGTGTGTATATAATGCAGTGTGTGTGTGTTTGTGTAGTGTGTTTAATGTAGTGTGTGTATATAATGCAGTGTGTTTGTGTAGTGTGTTTATATAATGCACACTACACAAACACACTGCATTATATACACACACTATACAAACACACACACTCTGCATTATATAAACACACTACATTCACTATACACACACTACATTCACTATACACACACAGTCTGCATTCATTATATACACACACACTTTGCATTTAGTATATACAGCATTCACTTTACGCACACTACCCACACACTACACAAACACTCTGCTTTCATTATATACACACTACACTAATACACACTGCATCCACTACACACACTAGACAAATACACACTGCATCCACTACACAAACACACATTGCATCCTCCACACACACTACACACACACAATGCATCCATAACACACACACACTACACAAACACACACAGCTCCCCTGTCACACTGCATCCACTACACGTGGCATGTATATTTTGTGCATTTACCTTTAGAAATAGTTTTTATTTTGGTAAATGTACAGAATATCGGCAAATTATATCGGCTATCGGCCAGAAAGTTCACAGAATATCGGTATCGGCTCTGAAAAATCAATATCGGTCGATCCCTAATATATATATATATATATATACACACACACACACACGGCCTAGTCCCCACATCGCAATCGCCGGCCAGACGTACCAGGTGCGTCCACGGTCATTAACGTCCTTTTGTCAGACGTACCTATTATGTCCGAGGTCGGGAAAGGGTTTGAGGCCTCGTTCCTGGTGTTAAAAGAATACTACAAAACAAGAGAGTTCACTATAGAGTCAAGAGTGGTGCATAGAGTCTCCTGCCCTGAACCCACATTTTAAAAAAGTAAAACCATTTAGAATGGCTAGACTTCTTACTTGGTGACCGTCCCTTCCTCCGCTACCAATGAGTGGAAATTCATAACCAGCAAGTTCAATTTACTCTCTTAAACTAAGCCCTGAACAGTCGTAACTGCATTTGTAATGGAGGTAGGGAGAAGCTATTAAAAATGGTCTGGCTCCTTACAATGGGTGAGGGTTTGTGGGGGTGGTGACAGGGCACTCCTGGCACAATAACCACTGCAGTGAGCGGTAGTAATTATGGTTCTTTGAGTGTTCCTTTAATGTGGAATGTGAACTGAAGAACAGCGCTGTGGCGCTTAGTACTGGTCATCACTGCTCCCTTGACAAAATTATGCTACTACAGCACGAGCAGCAAGAGATCTGTGTTGATCAGTGTGGCGAAAGTAACCTCGCCACTGGTTTTTGGAGGAGTCTGTTTGCCAGCCTCCTACCCTGTGACTGTGGCCCCTTTAATTTATTTTGGCTGAGAGACCCTAACTGTGCCTATTGGGACTGTGAACAATGGCTCTTCAAACTTTCAAAGTAGTCGAAGTGCCGAAGTGGCCGCCATTTGACATTCGAGCACATGGCGGCGGCGATCTTATTTAGTCGAACATGTTCAGCAGTGTTTTGCAGTCGAGTTAATGGAACTCAAATCGGACATGCAACGGCACGAACACCGCTGGAAAGTTACCTTCCAGGAAACCGACAATTCAAACGGCGTTCGGTTAGTTGAAGCCCATGAACAAGGGACACACATTGACTATACTCATTCACCATTCCGTTCGGTAATTCGAACAGTACTTCGATTGTTTAAAATAGACTGGCCGCACAGCCTTATTCTCTGGAACTGTTCTGGGCATGAAACCATGCTGCAGTCGGTCAAGAAGAGACTTCCAGGAATTTCCTGAACCCCTTCTCTGATCTGGGTGATTTTTGGATATGTTGTTCACCCAGATCAGGGCTATCAGGGGATGTGTTGTATTTTGGGCTTTGTTAAAAAAAAAAAAGTGTGGTTTTTCTGCCTGGGAATAATTAAGTTAAAGCATTATCTACCTTAATTATATCACAGGCAGAGGGGAGGGATTGTGTACTGTGTGTGGGAGTGTCATCCTGTTCCCCACAAGGTCCACGTGGGTTTTCTCTTGCATGAGGACTTGCATAAAAGGCCAGCTGTGGCTCCCATTAAACAAGATGCTTTACCCCTTCATGAAGTCTTGGCTCATGTTTTGGGGATTGGAGGACTACACTCTGGGGATTGCTTTAATCACTATTCTCTCCAGAGTATAATCACTAGCTCTTCTAAGAGATGTTCCTGCTACGCTCTCTGGAGTAGGAGAGGTTTACCCACTGGGAGCTGGATCCTGGTCTTGAGTCCAGGGTCGGTGGAGGACTGCGAGACCCCAACCAAGCTGCGGTGGTTCGTGGGGTCTACAGTGCTTATGTTGTCTGGTGGAGTGCTTGGAGCATCAATTGAAGGAGGTACCCAGTCGGGGTGCCTTCACAATCAGTGTTAGCAGCAAACCAGCGTAATGTGCATTCACTGCTAATTACGGACAGGTGACCTGGAAGCTTAACCCCTTAAGGACACATGACATGTGTGACAGGTCATGAGTCCCTTTTATTCCAGAAGTTTGGTCCTTAAGGGTTAAAGGAACACAAACATGTATTCCGGATCCTATAGTGTTTAACCCTCCATTTATTGAATCAATGCATCTCCATGTGGAAAATTCAGCGTCTACATGCAGAGCGTGGGGACGCTGAATGTCAGAGCTGCCTACTGTGCAGCCCTGAGCCAGAAAGCCCCTCTAGTGGCCATCTGGAGGTGTCCCTAGGGGCAATGTAAACACTGCCTTTTCTCTAAAAAGAAAAAAAGTGTTTACATAAAAAAAAAAAAAACATGCCTGAAGGGAGCTATTATACTTACCAGAACAACTACATTAAGCTGTAGTTGTTCTGGTGACTATAGAGTCCCTTTAAAACAGAGTACACATTATGAACACTTTATGGAATATGTGAAATAGCCATGATTAAACAGAGCTGGAGCTTATGGGCAGCAAACTGTTTTATTCTGGGTACACCCACTGTTTCCCAGATTTGCCTTTTCAGTCAATAGTGAGGAGTCCTGGCTCTATTTTACAGACACATGGGGGTCTATATTGTTCACATTTCTTTTTTTTTTTCTCCTTTTCAAAGTCAAAATATAAGTGGGACATCTTTTGAAAAGGGGATTTTAACCCAGCACATGTGTTGTATAAAATGCTATACCTGCAGAGAATTAGGTTCCAAAATCTTTCCTGACTGACCACAGAGAGTGGAATCCTTTACTCACAATATACTGACAAAAACAAATTATCTAAGAAGCCGGATTTACTTGCTTTTTGATCCCTTACAGGTGACTCACAGGTAGTTTCAAATGCAACAGTCCATCAACTCTGCATTGAACAAGTAAACAAACATGTCTCGTGAGGCTTTGTCTCCAGATGGGGGAAAGCACCTTGGCCACATGATTGTGTAGTTCTGGTTTTTAATGAAGAGTATTTTTATTATAGAAGTGTAGAAAGAGAAAGTAAGGGATCTGCCATTACATGCATTCTTTTATTCATGGCTCTAATTATGATTACACATTCTCTCTCACATACATACATACATACATACAGGGAGTGCAGAATTATTAGGCAAATGAGTATTTTGACCACATCATCCTCTTTATGCATGTTGTCTTACTCCAAGCTGTATAGGCTCGAAAGCCTACTACCAATTAAGCATATTAGGTGATGTGCATCTCTGTAATGAGAAGGGGTGTGGTCTAATGACAACACCCTATATCAGGTGTGCATAATTATTAGGCAACTTCCTTTCCTTTGGCAAAATGGGTCAAAAGAAGGACTTGACAGGCTCAGAAAAGTCAAAAATAGTGAGATATCTTGCAGAGGGATGCAGCACTCTTAAATTGCAAAGCTTCTGAAGCGTGATCATCGAACAATCAAGCGTTTCATTCAAAATAGTCAACAGGGTCGCAAGAAGCGTGTGGAAAAACCAAGGCGCAAAATAATTGCCCATGAACTGAGAAAAGTCAAGCGTGCAGCTGCCACGATGCCACTTGCCACCAGTTTGGCCATATTTCAGAGCTGCAGCATCACTGGAGTGCCCAAAAGCACAAGGTGTGCAATACTCAGAGACATGGCCAAGGTAAGAAAGGTTGAAAGACGACCACCACTGAACAAGACACACAAGCTGAAACGTCAAGACTGAGCCAAGAAATATCTCAAGACTGATTTTTCTAAGGTTTTATGGACTGATGAAATGAGAGTGAGTCTTGATGGGCCAGATGGATGGGCCCGTGGCTGGATTGGTAAAGGGCAGAGAGCTCCAGTCCCACTCAGACGCCAGCAAGGTGGAGGTGGAGTACTGGTTTGGGCTGGTATCATCAAAGATGAGCTTGTGGGCCTTTTCGGGTTGAGGATGGAGTCAAGCTCAACTCCCAGTCCTACTGCCAGTTCCTGGAAGACACCTTCTTCAAGCAGTGGTACAGGAAGAAGTCTGCATCCTTCAAGAAAACATGATTTTCATGCAGGACAATGCTCCATCACACGCGTCCAAGTACTCCACAGCGTGGCTGGCAAGAAAGGGTATAAAAGAAGAAAATCTAATGACATGGCCTCCTTGTTCACCTGATCTGAACCCCATTGAGAACCTGTGGTCCATCATCAAATGTGAGATTTACAAGGAGGGAAAACAGTACACCTCTCTGAACAGTGTCTGGGAGGTTGTGGTTGCTGCTGCACGCAATGTTGATGGTGAACAGATCAAAACACTGACAGAATCCATGGATGGCAGGCTTTTGAGTGTTCTTGCAAAGAAAGGTGGCTATATTGGTCACTGATTTGTTTTTGTTTTGTTTTTGAATGTCAGAAATGTATATTTGTGAATGTTGGGATGTTATATTGGTTTCACTGGTAATAATAAATAATTGAAATGGGTATATATTTGTTTTTTGTTAAGTTGCCTAATAATTATGCACAGTAATAGTCACCTGCACACACAGATATCCCCCTAACATAGCTATAACTAAAAACAAACTAAAACTACTTCCAAAAATATTCAGCTTTGATATTAATGAGTTTTTTGGGTTCATTGAGAACATGGTTGTTGTTCAATAATAAAATTAATCCTCAAAAATACAACTTGCCTAATAATTCTGCACTCCCTGTACATACATAATTTTTTTTAAATTTTTTTTTTATTTCTTTATACA